TACTGTACAAATATTTTCAAAATTTTAAGTAAGCACCCTACTAGAATCCTTTTACAAGACTAGTCCTAATACCTAAACCAGAGAAGGACAAAACACAAAAGGAAAACTATAGACCAATATCATTAATGAATATAATTTTAAAAATTTTAAACAGAATCCTGTCAGACTACAGTGATTTATCCAAGAAATTATTCTTGATGACTAAGTTGGATTTATATCACGGATGCAAGGATGGTTCAACATTAGGAAAACAATCAACATAATTAATCATTTTCAAAGCCAAAATATCCATGCCCCCGCAACCTACAAAATACTGGCAGAGAAGAACCTTTCTTAATGTCAGAAAATGTATTTAAAACCAAAAGCAAGTATCATATGTAATGGGGATGCACTAGAACTTTTTACATTAAATAAAGGAGTAAAGCAAGGATGCATGCTCTCCCCACTCTTATTCAGCATAGTTATGGAAAAACTGGCAACAGCAATAAGGCGGGAGGAAGAAGTTAAAGGTACGAATATAGATAAAGAGGAGATAGAACTATTTCTGTTTGCTGCTGATATGATGGTATACTTGGAAAATTCTAGGGAATCAGCAAAGATACTAATCAAGACAATAACTAGTTACATGGTTGCAGGCCACAAAATTAATCCTTAAAAATCACGTACATTTCTATGTAATGATAAACTCTTAGAGGCAGTAATAGAAAAGCAAATCCCATTCCGAATAACTGTAAAATGACTAAACTATCTGGAGATCAGTCCACCAAAGCACAGAAACAACTTGTATAGATTCAGTTACAAAGCGGGTAGTTATGTGGCATAGTGGATAGAGCACCGGCCCTGGATTCAGGAGGACCTGAGTTCAAATCTGTCCCCAGACACATAACACTCACTAACTGTGTGACCCTGGGCAAGTCACCTAACCCCATTGCCTAGCCAAAAAAAGAAGAAGAAAGTTTCAATTACAAAGGGCTCCTTAAATAAGTAAAGAACACTTTGAATAGCTGAAGTAATATTAAATGCTCATGCTAGGATGTGCTAGTATAATAGTGAATTTACAGTCTTAATGCTATACCAATCAAATAATCAAGAGGGTATTTTATGGAACTTGACTAAATAATACCAAAATTCATTTGGAAAAACAAAGGATCTGGGATATCAAGGAGAATGATGAAAAGAGCTAGGGATCAGGGGAGAATAGCACTTCTAGTTCTCAAGCTATGTTATAAAGTAGCAGTCACTAAAACCGTCTGGTATTGGTTGAAAAATAGAGTGGTAGCTTAGTGGAACAGACGAGACAAGGGGGAATCAAAAACAATGAAACTTAACAGAAAATAAAAATTATTTAGGGAGAAAATGTTATTTGATGAAAAGTGCTGGGGAAACTGGAAAGTAGTCTGGCAGTAATTCAACTTAAACCAATATTTTATACTATAGTCCACAACACTTTCTAAATGGACGTGTGACCTTAATATTCAAGATTATACCATCAAAAATGTGAAGAGAATCAGATTATATACCTCTCATAGCTATAGGTAGCAGATGTATCTTAACCAAATAAGGAGTAGACAGAAGATAAAATAGATAACTATTTGCAACTGAAAGCTTTTGCAAAGACAAAAATAATGTTTCTAAGATAAGAAGGAAAATGGTCAAATAGGGAAAAAAAATCTTTGTTATCACATTTCTCTAATAAAGGTTTAGTATCCAAGATAGATAGATTAGATAGATAGATAGATAGATAGATAGATAGATAATCACAATTCCTCCGTAGTTAAATGTTCAAAGGATATTTACAACTACATAAAAGAATGCTACAAATCACTAATAATAAAACAAATTCAAATCAAAACAACTCAGGTTTTACCGCACACCCTGCAGATTGGCAAAAATCACAAAAAATGTCAATGGTCAAAGTTGGGAAGGTTTGTGGGAAGATGGGTGTTCTAATGCATTGTTAATGGAGCTGTGAATTGGTACAAAGATGTTGGAAAGCAGTTTGTTATACAAATAAAGTGATTAAAATGTTTATACCCTTTGACCCAGGGATTTTATCACTGGACTTATATCCCAAGGAAGCAATTGATAAGAAGAGAAATTCCCTATATACCCCCAACGTACTTATAGCAGCCCTTTTTATGAAAGCAAAGAATTATAACTAAAGATGATACTCAGTGATTGAGGAATGGCTAAACAAATTGTGCTACATGAATGTAAAGGAATATTACTTTGCTATAAGACATGAGGAAGGTGATGAAGATAGAAAAGCAGGGAAAGGGCTACATGTACTGATCGAGGTTGAAATAAACAGAGCCAAGATAACAATGTACACAATGACTGCAATATTGTAAATAGAAAGAACAATAACATATAAAAAAAGTTAATGCTGAAAACTTATAAAGAACAAGCATATTTTGAAAGACAAGCTATGAGAGGATGCTCCCAGCCTACCCCTTTGCGGAGGTGTGAGGTCCACAGGTTTTCCAAACTGTATGTGTTTTCTTACTTTTTCAGTGTATTGATTGGTCCTGGAACTAGATCGTCATCAGAGGGAAAAACAAAAACCTTTTATTAAAAAGTAAAAGTACTTTTATCGCAGCAAATGTATAAAACCTTGAGAACCACCTGACGGGAAGAGGGCAGGGTTCCCCTGATTATAGCCAGTAGGGTCAATTACTCATCTAATGGTAGGGACAGTGTCATTTAAACATTTAATTTATATTTTGTGTAATAACCAGTCAGTACTTTCATTCATTAAATAGTATTTATTGAGGTGAGGGGGAGTGGCTACATGCAAGGGCCCTTGCTAGGTGCTGTAGTGAATACAAGTAAGCAAAAAGACATTTGTTCTCACAGATCTTACAGCACAAAGGAGAAATTAGACATATATTAATAACTATGGCAGAAGGAGCACGTAGAAGTGTTTTTTCCCAGCATGACAATTGGTATTGTAGAAGGAGTTCTGGTTCTGAAGTCAGAGGTCCAGGGTTCAGGTCCTCTTTCTGAAGCATATCATCTGTGTGGTCGTGGGCAAGTCATTTAAACTTCCTGGGCCATAGTTTTTTATCTGTAAGATGAGGAAGTTAGACTAGATACCATGTGAGTCCTTTCTAGGTCTGGACTTAAAATCCTAAGGGGTACAATTCTTCCAATTGGTGCCAATTGGTGGCATTTGAACTGGGCTTTGGGATAGAGATTAGGTATGTGGAGTAAGAGGTTGAAGGATGGAATGTCATTGCAGATTAGACAACCTAAAGAAAGGCAGGAATGAAGAAGAGTTCAGAGCGTGTTCAAATTTGGTTAGAGCATTAAAGAGTGTAGAGGAGAATGATAGTAGATGAGGTTGGAAATGTAGGGACCAAAATATAAGAAGCCTTGAATACCAGCATGACTAGTTTTTATTTTGTTTCATTTTGCTCAGAGCAGGAGGTACAGTAGAGAAGTACCAGGCCTAAAGTCTGGAAGACCTGAGTCCACATTGAGCCTCAGATGTTTTCAAGCTATGAGGTCCTAGTCACTTAAGCTCAATCTGCTTCAGTTTACTCAACTGTAAAAATCATTCACCTTTCAATGTTGTTGTGAGGATCAAATGATATAATATTTGTAAAGCATTTAGCACAGAGCCTGGCACATGGTAGACACTTAATAAATGCTTGTTTCCTTCTTTCCTTCCTTCCTTCCTTCTTTTTTCCCATATTCTCACGCTATTCTCCTTCAATAAGAGTATTTATTGTACAAATCATTCCCAAGGGCTGCTTCTCTCTGTGATTCATCTCTGCTCAGCAGCTACTTTCTGAACCTGCTCTGTTTGGCTCAGAATCTTCTTCTTCTTCTTCTTTAACTTAAAGCTTAAAGCTTAAAATAATTTATTGGTTAGTTGGTTGGTTTATTTGTTTATGATTTGCACTCCAAACTAGTTATAAAAGCACTTTATTGATTGGTTGGTTGGTTGGTTGGTTAATTGGTTTATTTATGATTTAGAGGCCCAACTTCTTGTTGTTATTGTTGTTTAGTCATTCAGTCATGTCGGACTCTCTGTGACTTCATGAAGCATAGAATATTGTCCATAGGGTTTTCTTGACAAAGGTTTGCCTTTTCCTTCTGCAGTGGATCATTTTTTATCAGAACTCTCCACTGTGAGTTATCTGTCCTGGGTAACCTCAGCTACACAAGCCTGTGCCACAACAAGGCAGTGATCCAGGAAGGAGCCCAACTAGTTATATACAAAAGCACTGGTCATGTTGTTTGGTTTTCATTTGAAAGGCAGTGGAAAGGAATTGAAGGAATCACATCGAAAATTTTCCAGTGTGAGGTGGAAAGGAAAAGGACACGTTCTGATCAGAACTGTAATCTGACAGCCACATTCAGAATGAATTGGAACAGGAATAAATGCATGGAGAGCACTCAGTTAGAAGGCTCCAAGAAAGAGATATTAAGGTCTTTAACCCACCTGGTGGCTGCAGAAAAAGGAAAATATCTCTATCAATACTTTTTAATAAGAGTGATTCCATTTTTCAAAGAGCTAATTTGTATTTGTACTTTTTAAGACCATTTCTGAGTCTCATCTCTTTAGTGATTACTACTACTGCACGTTTCAAAAAAAACCAAACTCTTCCGTCTCATTTAATCTGCTAATACCGCAGGTCTGTAAGGAAGCATCATTATTTCCATGTACTCTTTTAGTAACATTGGTTATCACTATTCAAAAACATAGACTGGATTGTGGAAATTAAGTTTAAGAATGCATAATAGTATCCAGACTATAATAAAATAATGAGTGTTGTACTGATTTGAAGGATTAGGCAAACTAAACTGACCATTTGAAAAAAACAGCAAATTCATTGGCTTTCTGCCACTTAGAACTGTACCACATGTTTTCCTACAATGATTCCAAGAGCACTGATTTCTCTTTCTTGTCATTTTAATCTCTCTGTTCTCTGTTGGCAGTGTGTTTGAGGTATGTACATGCATGTGGTAAAATTGTGTTCTTCTCTTTTCAGGAATCCAAAATGTCCTCAGCCTCTTTTGTGCTGTACTCACAGAAAACAAGGTTCTCTTTCATTCCACCAGTTTCCAGAGACTTAGTGATGCTTGCAGAGCACTAGAGTCTTTAATGTTTCCTCTTAAATATAGGTGAGCTTTTATTAACTGGCCCTAATATTTATTCTCAATTTATATACTCACTGACTATAAAGTTTACAAAGGGATTTCAGCTAAATAGTATAGTTAAATATGAGCCACTTACATGTGTCTCACTGAAGGTTATGCAACAAACTGACTCATAATTTTGAACACTGTCAATAATAAAATTCTAGGCCACATTGAAGAAATTATAAAGAAAAATGTATGCAAAATGAAAAAGAAAATATGCTTAATGTGATTTTCAAAAATTACTCCTAGTTATCCTTATATCCCTATTCTTCCGGCTCAATTATTGGAAGTTCTAAGTCACCAACACCTTTCATTATCGGAGTTCATTCTGTCTTTCGTACTGAAGTCCATGAACTTGTAAGTATTCACATTTACAATTACTATCGTTATTTAAAAATTTTACCATATCTCTTTGTTTCCAGTGATACCTTTAATCTAGTGTTAGGATGTTTCTGTTTAATTCTCAATAAAATGGTGATGATAAAAAAGGATGATAGGATCCACTTGAACGTATAACTGTCTATATTGCCTTACGCCTGCTAGAATCAGTGCTCCTGGAAATAAGTCTATTCATGTAATTAATTTCTTCTCTCATAGAATAATAAGTTTGTATATTCACTAATGGTATAATAAAATTGATATCTTATTATCTGTATCACAGTCAAACAACAATCATAACTTCCATCAGATCCATCAAGAAAGATGGATTTGAAGTTCCTTGGCAAATGTCCTAGTTATGAATACATTGTCAACTCTAAAAGCTTACTTATCCTAATGTACAGTCCCTAGAACATAGTAAACGCTTTTATATGCTTGTTGCCTCCCCACCTGAGATGAGATGCCTACTTGTCTTCATTTGAAGTCATTATTACTTGTCAGTAAATAATTATTAGATTGAATCTTGCAAAAGATATTGACAGAGATGGTGTAGCAATAACAAATAACAGAGAGAAAGTAGCTCAACTCCTATTTTGCATCTATCCAGGATTTCAAAGGTTCTGTCAAGACTTTCTTGCTGGAAAAAGGCCCTCATGCCATATTTATCTTCTAAGCCCCTTGTGAAACTATACAACAGAAAGGGCCAAAGTTAAAGTCTTCTCTTTGATCAACAAAGATTTCCTTCCCTGATGTAATATTCATATTAAGTCTGTAGATGACACAATTATAAATGCAGGTGACAAAAAACTAGGAAGACTAATCAGTATATTAGAAATGAAAATTCAGAAAGATTTTGATAGGTTAGAATGTGGAGGGAAAACTAATAAAATGAAACATTTTCTTTGATACCTCACTGGTCCACGATTTCATCAATGCAAGTACTCCCTCCACCGATAGAGATCACAGGGAGCCCAGCTGGTCATTGAGTGGTGCCTACATTGTGTCTCTAGGATTGTACCCCACATCTTTCTGTCTTGGGTGAACATGCAGAACCTTGGACTCTATTGGCATAGCCCTCAAGAATCCAAGGTTCTTACCGTGCTACAGTGAGACTCCAAGAGTAGGATTTTTATGAAGAATTTTACATGAGGTTATCAAAATACCAGTTTGATTAATGTTAACCTAAAATACTTGAAAATTCTGTTCTCTTAATTAGGTAAATAGATTCCTTTCCTATCTCATTTATACTGTTCCATGTGCTTATTATTAGCAGGATATCCAGGACCTCAGTCTAATTGATTAGTAATTTTGAATAATGACATACAGTTGAATAATTTTATAATATATTAATTTATATTTTTACATTAGCATATGATCAGTTTCAGTTTTGGTTTATTTTTGTTTCCTCCAGTTGGATGTAATCATTGCCGATTTGGATGGAGGCACTATTAAAATCCCTGAATGTATTCACCTCTCTCCACTCCCAGAACCACTGTTACATCAGACACAAATGGCCCTTTCTCTGGTATGTCATATTTTTAATGGTGATTTTGTTTGCAAAATCAGCATAGAAATTAAATGGTTGGGAATATAAGGGCATTGGACACCTATTTAGGTGAACACTATGGTTTCCAGATTCTGAATGAATATTAGTAGGTGAATAATTGCGTAACACAGTATGTCATAGTGGATGGAGCTAGAATTGCTGTCTGGGAGACCTAGATACACATCCAGCCTCACTCAGACCTTTACTCTGATCCCAGGCAAACCCTTTCAGCTTGCTGAACCTCAGTTTCCCCATCTGTCAGTGAGGATAATCATCACATCTACCTCACAGGGATACTATGAGGATCAAGTCAGATAATGTCCTGTATGTAAAAACCCCTCACCAAACACATCCAGTCAGTCACCAAGTCTTGTCATTTCAGCCTCCACAGTTTTTCTCATACCTGGCAGTTTTCTCTGTTCACATAGCCAGCACCGGTATTCCAGGCCTAGGCACTTCTCCCTGGATTCTGGCAGGGGCTGTCTACTTTGTCTTACTGCCTCAAGTCTCTCCCCTCTCTGGCTGACTATCCGTACAGCTGCCTGAAGCACAAGTCCCACCATGGTTTTTCCTGTACTCTATAAGCTCTAAGGAATCCAGGGTCCAGTGCAGACTCCTCTCTTTGGCATTTAAGGCTCTTCACAATCTTGCTCCAACTTTGCCTCCTAACCTTATTACACACACCTGCCCTTCAGCCCCTTCTGTAGTGCAGTTACATTGGTCTTCTTTCTGTCCCTCTCCCATGCCAGTCTGTTTCCTACCTCTGTGCTTTTGCCTCAGCGGTCTCTCCTGCCTGCAGGGCCCTCCTTCTGTTTCACCTCAGAGAACTCCTAGTTTCCTCCCAGCTCAGCTCCAGCATTACCTTCTCCATGAAGATTACCCTGATCCCCCCAGTGCCAGGGGCTCCTCTTCACCTACACTTGAAAAAAATAACCTCTCTGCCTTATGTCTACACTTCTGTATGTATGTCATCTCCCTCGATCAAGTGTGAGCTCCTTGGGCAGGGTGGGGGGAGGGGTGGAGGAGGGTCAGGTCCTGTTTTATTTTTGTCTTTTCGGGTGATGGATATCGATTTTTCTTTCCAACCTTAGAACGCTATATAAATGTGCTCTTTATTTTATGTCAGTTTTCTTAGCTATATTTGTCAAATATAGACTCTCCTCTCCAGCACCCTAGATGGGCATCACTACAATTTCCAGTTCCTTGCCACCACAGAGAAAGCTGCTACAAACATTTTAGAACATATAGGTTCTTTTCATTTTTCCCTAATCATCTTTGGAAATAGACCAAGTAGTGGTATTGCTGGGTTAAAGGGTAGTTTAATAACTCTTCGAACATAATTCTAGATTGCTTTCCAGAATGGTTGAGGATATCTTAACAGATCTTGGAGAGCTTGATTATTCATTTATCCTGCCTGTCAAATTGATATCATCCTTTATCATCTTTGCTGATTACTTCAGTTTCTGAAACAGGTAATCACTGTGCCCAAAAGGGCAAAGATTTTGTGTGAGTCATCTAATTGAGTGACTCAGCTCTTGTGAAATTTTGAATACTTCTCGGCTAGCAAGATGGTGCCTATTGATGGAATTTTATCATTTTCTCTGTTTACAGAAAAGTATTTCCACAGTATTAGGACAATTTGTTTATTAAAATATATTTATTTTAGATTTTGCACCCAGACCTAGAAGTAGCAGATTATGCATTCCCTCCACCACGGACAGCTCTGTCACACTCAAAAATGCTAGTAAGTTTATCATTTAATTTTGATTTTTTTGTAATAATTTTTAAAAGATACTTTTATTGAAAAATATTTAAGGAATTGAGATCTCGGCTTCCTTAATTTCAACCAGATAAGCATCACAGTGTTCTCTCACAGGACAGCTAGAAGAAGAAGCACTAGTCTGGGAGTCAGAAGCCCTGACCACTGGCTGGAATAGAAACAAGGGTTGGGTTGTGACTTTGGGCATGTTATTTTTAAGCTTCAGTTGCTTTCTCTAGATAAGTATCTAAGATCTCTACTAGTTCTAAAATTCCCATGATTATTGCACATGTATAATTATATAAGATTGCTTACTGTCCAGGAGGGGAGGGAGGGATAGAATTTAGACCGTAAGACTTAATGTAATTGGGAGAAAATAAAATATTATTTTAAAAAATCCCATGATTATAAAAACATAATTTGCCAAAAAGAAATCTTGATCATCACTTTATTAATATAGGAAAAGTTAGTCATTTCATAGAGGAACTTTGATAGAATCTTAGTTTTTTAAGATCTAATACAGCTTTGATTTCTAGAATTAATTTAGGATTGGAAGCTTTTAGTGTTGTTGTTGGATACGAGTTGAAGGAAGAGGGGTATTCCTTTAGCCCACGGACAAGGGAAAGAATTCTGGAGCTTCTGTTTAATGGAGAATGATGTTATAATCAGTGGGTAGAAGGTGCAGGGAACCAGAGTGGAAGGAGGGGCCGTTTCTTTCTCCTGTGGGTTGCCGTCGTGGAAGTGCTGAGCAGAGACTAAACCACCTCTCAGAGCTGCTACATGGGGATCCCTACGTGGGGGGCAGAGGAGACCAGATGATTCCCAGGTCCCTTCCCGCTCATTGGTTCTGTGGCTTTTCTCGTTGTTTCAGTAAAGCCTAACATTTTTCCCTTCTTGTTTTCAGGATAAAGAAGTGCGGGCAGTTTTCCTTAGATTATTTGCACAGCTTTTCCAAGGCTATAGATCTTGCCTGCAGCTTATCAGAATCCATGCAGAGCCGGTCATACACTTTCATAAGGTAACTAACATTAACAAACCTTTCAGCCTGTGAAAAGAAAATGAATTACTCCCCTTTTAGAACTAATACCAGGAGACAGTTAAATGTGAGATATTAGAAGAAACAAGCAGTAGTACAATGTAGTGAGAAAGCTATTTGATCACAAATCAAGTGGATTCTAGTTCTCGTGGTTCTGCCATTGGCTGACTGTGATCTTGGCTAAGTCTTTCCCTGGACCTCAGTTTCCTCTTCTGTAGAACAAGGGAGTTGGACAGTGATGTGTGAAAAATTATTCATTTGGACCCCTACTCCATTCCAATCAGTATCAGTCAGTTCAGTGTGATTCCATAAGGGGTAATGATGATTAATGATTATTAGTGAAATATTCATCTGGTAACATACTAGTCAGTTATCTAACAGTCAATACAAGAATATACATGTACTAATACATATTTTATAAAATTCATATAGGGATAATTAGGTAAGGTAGGTCCTAATAGTAGGCCTCTATGGTGGGCCTCAAACTTTAATCCAACATTCACCACTTGTTTACCAATTATGAAGCTTACTTGGCAAGCATAAGAATGCTGACAAAGGTATCTCCACCTGTTTTGCTCAAATTCCATGTCCATGCCTACTGTGGGTAGCATGATATAGAAAGTCCCCAATTTGTACCTCCAGACTACCATCTCTTCTCTGACATGAGAAGGTGACCATCTTATGACCACTTAGTCACTGGAGATGACCCTTGCCTTGCCCATCTTGTGTCCCCCCACACTGATGTATCATTTCTGGCCCTCGTAGAGGGTCAGAATCAAGGTCTGTCAACCAATGAAATTTTGTATTTTACTGTGTGTCTTTTGCATGTTTGGGTATGGGTATCAAGCCCTACAAAAGTAAGGCCCTGGGAAAAGGAAGATCATGAGGAAGATCTGAGGTCCACTTCAGTAGTGGGAACCACCGACCCTTTAATAAAGTGCTATTGGCTTGGAGCTGTGCCTCAGTGGTTTTTCTTGCCGATTGCACAATTTTAAACCCACAGATGTTAGTAACAAAAAATGTTCATTGACATTTACTTAGCCATTTTCATTTACGAAGCATTTATAGACTTTATCCCATTCAAGGCTTTTAGCAGCCTTGTGTGACAGGTTGTGTCACAAGGATTCTCATTTCCATCTTAGCAGTGATCCCTACAGCCCCTGTCAGCTCAGACATGTCATCCAGAGTTATCAGGCCTCCACAATGGACAGGACTTACTTCCTTTTCATGGATATTGTGAGATCCAATTTTTTAATAAGCATGTTTTTTATTTTTTAATCATATTATGAATTTTTTTTCACTTGGCATTTTATTTCAAATAATCATAGCTCACATTTCCGTAGCATTATAGTGTCACTAAGGTGTTTTCCTCTTAAAAGCCCTGTCCTTGAGCAGTGTTACAAAAGCCATTACACTTTTTACCTTGTTGAATCCTTAGAACAAGCCTGCCAGAGAATGGTTCAGATGGTATGATCCCCATTTTGCAGGATTACTGATTGAATCATTTATTAAGCATTTACTAGTGGTGAGGATACAAATAGAAAGGCAAGACAGTCCCTGCTCTCAAAGAAATTATATTCTAGTGGAGATGACATTTATGAAGGTTTCAGGGGCAAGTCAGATGGAAAGGTCCCACAGACCTTAGTTAGGGTCAAGTGGCAAAGCAGATGGTAATGCCTCTTCTTTCATGACGTTTCTATTGATAAAATTGTATCAATTTTTGATGATGAACCTTTCGACAAGGATTTTGGTGGCAAGAACTTTTTTGGGGGGGGTGGGGAGCTTTTTTTTCTCTTGGTGAGGCAGTCAGGGTTAAGTGACTTGCCCAGAGTCACATAACTAGTAAGTTTCAAGTGTCTGAGGCCAGATTTGAACTAAGGTCCTCCTGACTCCAAGGCTGGAGCTCTATCTTCTGTGCCATCTAGCTGCCCCCAAGAACTTTCTTTTCAGGGTCTTCATTAGCTGTGGCTGTAGCCCCTTCAGGAACAGAGGCCAGGCTTCATCTTTCAGGGGCTGCTGCTTAAGATGATGGCTGAGGGCACTGGTTTGGAAGCCTTGCTGTTCCCAGGGTTTTGGGGTGGGTCCCACCCTGTGTCCATCAGGGATGAAGGGTGACCTTGGTCAGAGTGGTTATTTGATTCACCTGGCATCTGCTACCTCCTGTGTCTCCCTCAGAGGGCCTGGCTACTCCAGCTAGTCTGCCTGGTCTGCCCTGTGGGTGGCAATTGGTGAAACTGTCTTAGAAAAGGACTTGTCTTTAATCTACCTAGCTAGTAAATGGCCACGTCAGGTTCTTCTAACTCTGAGTCCTAACTCTGATCAAAACATAATGTATCAAATGTTCTTTAAAATAGTGGTGCTTCCTCATGAACTGAAGAAATTTGGTAGTTTTGGTTTTTGTTTTATATTTACATTTTGTCCATGTGTACCTTAGTAAGTTATTAATTGGTCTCTCCCATTCATATTTTTTATTGTACAGACAGCTTTCTTGGGACAGCGTGGTTTGGTTGAAAATGATTTCCTCATTAAGGTGCTTAATGGAATGGCATTTGCAGGCTTTGTGTCAGACAGAGGGCCTCCATACAGATCCTGTGATCTCTTTGATGAGGTATGAATTATCTAAGGCAATGGTTCTTAATGTGAGGGCCACAGATTCCCCAAGGGGTCTATGAATAGATTTTAGGAGTACATGAACTTAGATGGAAAAAGCAAATTGTTATTTTCTGTAACCTCTAGCTGAAATCTAGCATTTACTTCAGTTAGGAATTTTAAAAAAAAATTATTCTGAGAAAGGGGTTCATAGGCTTCACCAGATTTCCAAAGGGATCTGTGATACAAAACAGGTTAAGAGCCCCTGATCTAATATGTCGTATTTTATATAGAATGAGTGTAACAGGTGAAAGTGAAGGGGATTTTTTCTTAAATCTTCGATCTAATAACAATTATTGCTATAAGTACATTTTTAAAAAAAACCATTCAGTATCTTGAGAAGGAAGTGCATGACACAGTGGATAGAAAGCTGCCTCATTCAGAAAACCCTGGGTTAAAACCCCAACTTGACACCTGCTGGTTGTCCAACCAAGTCACCTGACCTCTCCTCCAACTATGAATTGCAGAGCAGCTTCCAGTCTGCATTGGTGGAGGTAGATTCCTAACCCAATGAAATCACAGGTCTGGACAAAATAAAATTATAGACCCTTAATAGTTTTTACTATACATCTTGAGTATAATTTAATTTATTTTCTGTTTTAATTATCTGGAGAGTTTATATGAATATTAAGTAATAAAGTACGTATTAGAAGTAGTAAATACACGTCATTGGGACTAATGATTTTTCATAAAAAAGAAATAACAATTTAAAATTATTTTATATAATTTTGCTTTAAATTTTAGAGTAATTTTAATACATGAACAGAACTTTTGATGTAGAAAGTGATAATAAAGTGATAACCTTACCAGCCTTATTGGAGTGAAATTATATATTGGTATGTAACCAACAAACTTCAAGGTGGAGTCTGCTAAGTAAGTGGTCATTTCTGAAGAGCTCAGACTTATCTGCTAGGCCCCTTGTGTGTTATTCAGCAGTAGCTACAATGTATTCAGTTCTTTCTTATCAAGCTCACTCCTCTAAGAGCTACTGGGGAGCCCTAAATGAAAGAAAGTAGCCTCTCTCAGGCTCATAGTTTACCTCTTAAAAGGTTACATGTGATAGACCCACGTACATCATCATGATGCTGTTTAACATCAGGATCCCCACTATATTAGGAGATCCAGAGAGCAGCCTCAGGTACATTGGGTAGATTCCTCAGATCACAACTTTGGAGTTGGAGGAAAGCCCAGCAGCCTATCTGTCCTTGGAAGAGAATCTCAGCCACCAGACATGTGACAAAGTCATCCCATGTGTCCTTGGAAAGCCAGGAGGAGAAACCCCCTGCCTCCTGAGGCAGCCTCCTCCTCTTTGTGACAGCTCCTATGGTTCACTGGTGATTCTTATTTGTCTTCCCATGACTTTCACTCATTTTGGTCCAGGGAAGAACTCTGAGCCAAGCCCAGGCATCTGACCCTTACTGCTGGTGTGACTGAGGGCAAGTCACTGAATCTCCCTAGGCTTTAGCCTCCTGTTTATAATTCAATACAGCCCATATCTATTGCATACCTGTTATATACAGACTCTATGCTAGGCAGTGAATGGGAATATAAAGAGAAATAAAACAGGTCCTTCCTTTAAAGAACTTATATCAGGTAGAGAGGAAATAAAACATGTATACAAATAAATATGATATATTAATATAGTATGAAGCAGAAGGCAAAATTGAACAAGTGCTAAGGTATTATGAAAGTTCCTAGGAGGGAGGAATTGTTTCTTACTGAGGAGATCTAAAGCATGCCTCTCACCAGTTTCTAAAATAAGTACAAATTTAGTTTTGAATTGAATGGCCAAAGTTCAGAGGAGAAGAGACCAGAATTACAAGATGTTATACTTTTTTTCTGGAAGATTTTGAAGGTTAATGAAAATCTTGACATATTGAGGAAATGTTTAGACCTCCTAAATTCTAAGTGTTACCAGTTTTATCAGTTTTGGGATTGGCAGGGCTCCTGTGGGCCCTAGAAATATCTTTAACAGGAAGTAATATCCTACATTATTAGAGAATGACCATGGCATTCCTATGCCATGAGCCCTAAAGCCTGAACAATAGCCAGAATACAAAGTGGGGTAGGTTTTTAGCATCATAGTTTTATGCTGGCATTTAAATTTGTGAATAATATAAGATTATTGTACATTTTAATAACATAGCAAGTAGATGTTGTGTGTTGAAATTGGTTCCTGGCTTTTGTTTCCTCAGTTGGTAGCCTTTGAAGTGGAGCGAATTAAAGTTGAAGAAAGTAACCCTCTGAAAATGATAAAGCACATTAGAGAACTTGCAGAGCAGCTCTTCAAAAATGTAAGTTATATTCACGTCTATTTAGTTAACTCAGGAATGTTAACAGTACCAAATGAGGTGATTTATTGTCTACAAAATTGAAAAGCAGCCTCCTGGTGATAATCTTTTTGCTCTGGTTTAAAGCTGTGGGACTATAAATTTCATGGTTTTACAGATGGTACTCTACAACCTACACTGAAATAGCTCACATTTTTTAGACTAATTTGCCTGTCAGTCACAGCATTATGAAAACTTCTAGTTAAAACCCTTTAGTTTGGCTTTTGTCTCTGTTGTACGTAAGTGGATTTGATCTGTGTTTTCAGTTTTTCTAAGAGAGTATTGAGTATGTACGTCACATACATATAGAATTCATTTTGGAGCCATCACCACATTAATGTAGACCTGGTTTTTTTCCCTTCTTTTATTACTATTTTTGGTACTTCTTCCATCACCCTTTCTACCATCAAATGGCTCCTGCCGTGCCTTCCCTCCAGCATACATTTATCTAAATGTTTGGGTAGCCCGTGTCTACTTCAAGAATTCCTTGGTGGGTTAAAGCTGCTATATAGCTAGTGGCTTTTTAAAACCACTAATGATCAACATTTTGTGAGTAAATGTTCATTTCATATACTACTATAGTCTTAAATTTAGCTATTATGATCTTTTGGATGTCCAATTGTAGTGTAGATCCTTGCTTTAGGGGATGCTATGCAAAATATAGGATTTTCATTGTAACAGGTTTAGTCACACAGCTTGATCTAAAGTGTCCTACCAAATGAATTTCAAAGATACATACATACATATATATGTATATATACATATATATGACATAAAGAGATATTTAACATGATGAGAATTATATTCTCAGAAGTTGGGTGTCAATATGATGAAAATCAGTTAGTTGCTTGCTATTTAGGGTTCCAGTATAGGTCTGTGCCAGGATTTCTGGAAAGATATAGGAGAAAATATGAATAAGAGAAGAGTGGGAGAGTTTCTTCATCTGTCTTAGGTTGTTGTATGAGGTCTGGCATCTAGGCAGAGCTGGTCATAGGCCAGAGTTAGGTGGAGGGAATCATGGTTACCAACAGGGCTCAAGTTATGGATAATTGATGTAAGTGTCAAAGAGCCTATTTATTCTTTTTAATTTAATATTTTTTTTAGAATATGATACATTAAATTTATTGATGTCTTATTTTTATGTTACTTACATTTACCAATATATGCCTCCCTATATGCCCTATATGCCTCAGAGATATGAGAAGGGAAAAAAAGTTGAAACTAAATAGCTGAGGTGGGTGGAGCCAAGATAATGGATTAGGGGCAGCTAACCAGCTGAACTCTCTCAACATTCTCCTTCAAACAACTTTAAAATAATACCTCAAATCAAATTTTGGAGCGGCAGAACCAACAAAAGGTTGGGATGAGCCGTTTTTCCAGCCTAAGAAAACTTAAGAGGTTGGCAGGAGTAGGGCGGAGCCAGTATGACAGAGTAAAGGCGAGGAGTCTCCTGAGCTTTCCTAAATTCCCCTCCAAAAAACACTAAAATAATGCCTCAAAATGAATTCTGCAATGGGAGAACCAACAAAAGGACAGAGTGAAACAATTTTCCAGGCTAGGATAACGTAGAAGGTCAACTAGAAAGGTTTGTCTTACTGGGGTGAAAGTAGATCACAGTCCAGTATAGGCAGCACTCTTACGAGCCAGCAGTAGGCCTTGGGGATGACAGAATTAGGTACAATGGCTTCCCGAGTTCTCAGCCCACAGATTGTAAGGGGGATCAGAAATCTTGTCAGAAAGAGATTGAAGAAGACCTTTTGCTGGCACTGGTCGCAAGACTCTTGCATTGCCCATATGTGGTTCTGGATCATAGTCCCAGAGTGAGAAGGAGGAAGAGAAAGAGCAGAGACCCTGGTCATACTTCCCGGGTGGAAAAGAATGGTTGTGGTTGCTCACAGACCACAGCACAGGCCAGGAGAATATTGACCGTACCTCTCCTTAGAGCATACCACCTTGGGAGAAGTGAAACTTAGAGGCCCCCCAGGACTAGCTCTGAACACAATAGCATGAAAAACCTGCAGCCTGGGACAATGCCCTCTCCACCCTGGGAACAGAGCCCAACTTTATACAAAGTTAATAGTTAAGATAAAGGCTGGAAAATGGCAAACATCAGAAAAGTACCTGACCATAGAAAGTTACCATGGGGACTGGGAAGATCAAATCACAGACTCAGAAAATGAGACCAGAGCAGCTACATACAAAGCCTCAAAGAAAAGTTGTAAGTTGCTCTCAGGCCCTGGAAGAGCTCAAAAAAGATTTTTAAAATCAAATAAGGGAAGCAGAGGAAAAGTGGAGAAAAGAAATAAAAGTGATACAAGAAAGAGTCAGCAGCTTGGTAAAAGAGGCACAAAAAATACTGAAGAAAATAACACCTTTAAAAAACAGAGTAGGCCAAATGGTAAAAGTGTCACAAAAATCCACTGGGAAAAAAAGGATTCCTTAAAAAGAATTGGCCAAATGGGAAAAGAAGTACAAAAATTCACTGAAGAAGAAAACTCCTTAAAAAGTCAAATTGGCCTCATGGAAAAGGAAGTACAAAAGTTCACTGAAGAAAATAATTCCTTAAAAACTACAATGGGGCAAGTAGAAGCTAATGATTCCATGAGACAGCAAGAAACAATAAAACAAAATGCAAAGAATAAAAAAATAGAAGAAGTTGTGAAATATCTCATTGGAAAAATAAGTGATATGAAAAATAGATAAAGAAAAGATAATTTAAGAATTATTGGACTACCTTAAAGCCATGATCAAAAAAAGAGCCTACACATCATATTTCAAAAAGTTGTCAAGAAAAACTGCCCTATTATCCTAGAATGAGAGAGTGAATTAGAAATCAAAAGAATCCACTGATCACCTCTTGAAAGAGATTCCAAAATGAAAACTCCCAGGAATATTATAGCCAAATTCCAGAGCTCTCAGGCCAAGAAGAAAATATCGTAAGCAACCAGAACAACAACAAAAATCCAGTTCAAATATCATGGTACCACAGTCAGCATACCACAAGATTTAGCAGCTTCTATATTAAAGGATCAGAGGGCTTGGAATGTGATATTCTAGAGGGTAAAGGATCTCAGGTTACAACCAAGAATCATATACCAAGCAAAACAGTGTATGATCCGGGGGGGGAGGGGGAGTTGATGGACATTTCATAAAATAAAAGACTTTCAAGCATTCCTGATGAAAAAAACAGAGCACAATAGAAAATTTGACATTGAAACACAAGACTCAAAAGAAGCATAAAAAGGTTAACATGGAAGAGAAATTATGAGGGATTTGATTAGAGTAAACTGTTTATATCCTACATGGAAAGATGATACTTCCACCTCCTAAGAACTTTTTCCTTATTAAGGCAGTTAGAAGGAGTGTACATGGAGGGCTCAGGTGTGAGTTGTGTGATGAGATGATATCCAAAAAAATAAAATTATGAAGAGAGAAAGAGAGATGCACTGAGAGAAGGAGGAAGAGAGAGGTAGAATGGTGTAAATTATCTCACATATAAGAGGCACAAAAGAGCTTTTACAGTGGAGGGAAAAATGGGGGCAGGTGGTGGGCAACTCTTGAACTTTGTCCTCATTGGAATTGGTTCAAAGAGGGAATAACATAAACACTCAGTTGGGTATAGAACTCTATCTTTCCCTACAAGAAAGTAGAAGGGAAAGGGGATAAGAGAAGAGGTGGGGAGCTGATAGAAGGGAGGGTGCATTGGGGGAGGTTGTGGTCAGAAGCAAAACATTTATGAGGAGGGACAGAATAAAAAGAGAGAGAGAGGATGAATGGGGGAATGCTGGATGGAGGGAAATACACAGTAATCATAGCTATGAATGTGAATTGGATGAACTCACCCATAAAACCTAAGTGAATAGTAGAGTGGATTAAAAACCAGAATCGTACAATATTCTGTGTATAAGAAACATACATGAAACAGAGAGGCACACACAGAGTAAAATAAAGGGCTAGAGGAGAATCTTTTATGTTTCAACTAAAGTGAAAAAAAACAAAAAGCAGGGGAAGCTATCATGATCTCAGGCAAAGCAAAAGCAAAAATAGATCTAATTGGAAGATACAAGCAGGGAAACTACATTTTGCTGAAAGTACCATAGACAATGAAGTTAATAACAATACTAAACATACATATATGCACCAAATGCTATAACATCCAAATTCTTACTGGAAAAGTTAAATGAGTTACAGGAGGAAATAGTAAAACCATAGTAGTGGGGGACCCCAATTTGTCCCATTCAGAATCTAATATAAATCTAAATGAGAAAGACATTAAGAAAATGAATAAAAATTATAGAAAAGTTAGTTATAATGGACCTCTGAAGAAAATTAAATGGGAATAGAAAGGAATATTGTTTTTTTTCTCAGTGGTACATGGCCCCTGCATAAAAATTGACTTTGTATTAGGGCATAAAATCTGCACAACCAAATTCAGAAAAGCAAAAATATTACATACATCCTTTTCATACCATAATGCAATAAAAGTTGCATGTAATAAAGAGCCATGGAAAGATAGATTAAAATTGATTGAAAATTAAATAATCTAATCCTAAAGAATGAGTGGGTCAAATAACAAATCATAGAAACAATCAATAATTTCATTAAAGATAGTGACAGCAATAGACAACATACCAAAATTTGTGGGGTGCGGCAAAGCAGTACTTGGGGGAAATTTTATATCTCTAAATACATCAATAGAATAAAGAGCAGATCAATGAATTGGTCATGCAACTAAAAAAAAAACTAGAAAAAGAACAAATTAAAAATCCCCAGTTAAACACCAAATTGGAAATCCTGAAAATCAAAGGAGAGATTAATAAAATTGAAAGTAAGAAAATCATTGAACTAATAAATAAAACTACCAGCTATTTTTATGGAAAAAAAATAGAATAGATAAACCATTGGTTAATTTGATTAAAAAGAGAAAGAAGAGCACCAAAAAGGCTTGGAAAGGGTGAATTCAC